ATCCACAACTTCCCTGGGCAACTTGTTCCAGTGCCTTACCACCCTCAGAGTGAAAAATTTATTCCTAATATCTAATCTAAATCTACCCTCTTCCCCTTTGAAGCCATTCCCCCTGTTCCTATCACTACATGTCCTATGGTTAGGACATGCAATCTGCTCATCCACTGCTACAGAAACTGTTCCTAATGGTTTCTCTAGCTTGTCTTGCGTCTTGGTTAGTGACCAGCAAAAATGGGACTGGAATAGTATTTCAGTTTTTACAAATTCTTTAGATTTTTTTAGGACAGAGTCCAGCAATATAGTTAAGTGTATGGGTGTGAACAATATTACTGATTTCAGTAGGGCCGCTGATGTCCTCATATTTAGGCACATGCTTGTCCTTGTTTGAGGCTGTAACCAGTAGCCACACTCTAGAATTCAGTGTGTGTTATGCCCTTGCCTTCAAAACCCACTCCACTTTTCCATTCCAACACACCTAGAGAGCCTGATGGTAGAGAAATACCTGCAATTTCCCAATGGTTTCTGTTATAAAATTGAGGTTTTCAGTCATTTATAACTTCACCGAAATGTAACACCACAGACCAAATTTTCCTGTGCTGGGTATCTGAGTAAGGTTGAATTTTTGTGTCAGAAAATGTTAGCTAAAATGTTTCTGTGACCGAGAGAAATGTGTTTGTTTTTCTTTAATCTTGGAGGAACTCTGCTGCTCTCATATTTTGGAGCAGGAAATGCAGCAGAAGAGCTTTCTGGTTTGAAAGCAGCTACTGGCATTTACAACGATCCTCTTTGCCAGTATTCGGGAATGCAAATAAATTTGATCAAATCATGAGGTTCTAAAAATTACATATTGCAAGTGATATTCCGTACAATGCTGTATTAGAATTTGGCAGCTCAATGCTGTCTATATTGAGAACACACTGTTCTGCAAAACTCCTGTATGTGAAACCATAGAAAACTGGATTTTGTCCTTATTTCTGCCACAAAGCAATTGGGTGAGGCTAGATAAGTCTCTTAAAGAGTTCTAAGCTGGTCATTAATTTTACATTATTCCTTCTCAGAGTGCCTTATTTTAAGACTATTTAGGTTAGGTTTTTAGTTCTGGACAACTCCTATTCCTACAATGTCCTGAGAGCTGTTGGAAGCTAGTAAAAAGGCTGCATATTTGGTGATTGTGTGAAATATTTTAGCCACTAAAATGGCTTTAAAATTATAAGGGGCTTTTTTATGCCTAACTGTCCTGCATCTGTGCAATTGGGTTTGACTGCTGTTACACCTCAGAAAAGGTTAGAGGTGATGCTTTTATTGTTTTATAATTGCCCTTCATATATAGGCGCTGTCTATTTTGGGCATGAAAGGAACAGGGCCTCAGCAGGATTTTTCTTAGGACTTGAAGGAACATCAAGACACCAACCAGTCTGTTCTCCTCACTGTGATGGAAGTAATCTACCTAGGTAATACCTGGTAGGTGTACTGAGAGCTTTAAGAACAGGCTAATAATGGCAGATGGCTATCGCTTCCAGTGTTTCAGAAACCTTATTGCCAGAAAGTTTTCCTTTGCATCTAACTGAAATCTCCCCTGCCTCTGTGTAATGTAGTTAGTGGTTGTGTTAAAACAAACACACAGTTAAGGTTATGCAGACAGCTTTGGATTTAACGCTTTTTAACCTGAAAGTTGATTTTATATGTGTGAAATGATCAAACGTAGTATATGCTGAGACTGAAAGTATTTTGCATCTGAAGATACCATATTTTTATTTATGATTCAGTCAAAATAAATTAAAATAATCGATGATTATTTTGAAAGCAAATTACTGGGACTACTATATATCTACCGTGGCAAGCGTTGGAGAGATGAGAGTGTCTTATAATGCCAGAATGAGTTGTGTAAACGGGGGTATTTATATACTCAACGGCAACAAATCTTTGAGAGTTTTTTGTTGGGTTTGTTTTTTTTGTTTTTTTTTCTTGGCTGAGTCTCCTCTGATCCCACTTCTATCCCAGAGGAGGAGGAGGAGAAAACAAATGTTCCTATCACACATGTTCCATTATTGATTTTCATTCGAATCTACCCAAAGTCTTCTGTGCTGGAAATAATTAGACCCTGTGAACAGAGATGAAGCAAAAATCTATACAATGCTGTATTGCCAGAAATGAAGACAAGGGTGCCTAATTAATGTTGCATATAGAATGCCTTTTCAATGAATGGGTTTCCCTTTCTCAGAAGCAGCTCAACAGTGGTTATGTCACAAATTTACTGTTAATTAAATAGTGCTCACTGTTTGCCTGTAGAAATGGCATGGAGGAAAAAAAAAACTGGACAGCAGCAGCATTTTACAGGATCTCTGCAATTAGAAGAAAAGCCTATGAAAAATAAACTTGTGGGTTTCCTATTGATGGCAAGGTACTTTCTTCTTTGGATTGTCTCAAAGTTCTTCAGGAACCTCTAGTCACTGAAGAAGTTTGGACATTTCAAAAGTTGGACTGGGAATGTGTTAGGAGGGTTAAGGACAGGAAAAAAGTTCTTGGGATCTGAGGTTTAGGAGCACGGCTCACATCCATAGGCAGCTGGGTAAGGACTGTTCAGAAAGTAGGAAGCCAGTAGATTAACTTTTCTTTGACTGAAAGGTGGACTGAAGGTGATTTAAGTAAGACTGTGTAACACGTCTTGAGAACTGAGAAGGCAGATACTTGGGAAGAATGCAAGAAAGGTAACCTATGGAAAGTTTTCACAACCAGCGTGCACTCAACTAATAGCAGAAATATCTGGAGGGAAAAGCTGGAGGGTATCTGAAGTGTCTGAAATAGATTAAGAGAAAACATAAGCTTTATTTGTATGACACTCTTTGCTTGTTTGTTTTCTCCAAATAATGCAAAGATAACGTTGTTCCCAAAACAGAAACATCCGGTCTTTTAACTGCATCATAGATAGGCCTGAATCAGTGATTAAGCTTCCTGCAGTAGCACATGCTGTCAGTGGGTTTGCAGCGGGCATCCTCTCCTCCCTCTCTAGTCTTCCTGAATCCACTTCTGCTTCTTTTTCCCTAACTGTTCCCCTCCTACATCCAGAGGAGCTTAGGACCTTGTTGCTAGCAAGTAAAAGATAGTCCTGCACTGGGCTTACTTCTGTGTGGTGCATGGCCAGGTGCATGCTGCATCCTTTGTTTTAGGCCGAGAGAAGAGTGTGTGTAGCAGCCCTGATGGATTAATTTTTATAATTATTAGCTCACTCATTTTTCTGTGAAGCTGGTCTCCTTTTTGGCAGTCACAGAATAACAATGCTGTGTGCCTATGCATGCTGCAGAAAACAGCAATGGGATTTTTGCTGTGTCAGTTGTCTCTGGTAGTAGAGGGATTCTGGGAGAGTTGTCCTCTTCCTGTAATTTGCAGGCCACTGGCATGCCTTCATTCAGCCTTTAATTCTCCCCTTTTATCTCTATTCCCTCCTTGCTCTTCTAGATATCTGTTGTGGCCAATCTAAGTGATATGATTGCTCTCTGTGCATCTCTGGAGAATTTAAATAGCATCATTCCGTCCTTCTCTTTTCTCCCTATAAATGCAAAGGAAGTTTATCTTCTTTAGGCAAAGATAGAAAACATTTTTTTTTTCTCTCTAAGAACATCGAGAATGGGTAAAACCCAGGCTACTTGGTTGAGCAGATGAATTCAACTGATGAGTCTGTAGGAATCTTCCTAGACTGTGCCTTAAAACTGCAAGAATAGATGTGTTTTCTGATGAAAATCTAGTTCACATAAATATGTTTTTACATGGATTTGATAGAAGGAATTTTTTTTTTCCCTCAATATAGTAGAAGCTGGGATTCTGGTTCAGGAATTGTATGAAATAGTTTGAGTGCAGGAGAAAAGTACTATTAAAAAAGAGATTTTTATAATAGCCTGCCTTCTAAGACCTCTCTTTTCTTCCCATTTGGCTGCTTAGCATTGTCTCTCCTCTCATTCTGTTTTAATAAGCGTTTTTCTCTGCAAACTGTCAGCTCTAATGCACAACTGAAATAGGTGCACACATAGGTTGTGATTCCTCGCCCCATTGTTGCATTTTGATTCTGAACTCCAGACGTAATCTATTTAAATAATCTACTCCTGGGACTTAAGTCAACTCCTAGATACTTTTTGATGTTTGACAAATAGTGAAGCATTACAATAATTTAAATCAAATAACCAAATCCATATGAAATACACTACTTGTTATCTTTCCAACAGATTTATTTTCTTTGCTGGATCCATTTTAAGCTGCACTGCAGTCGTCAAATCAAAAATAAACCAAGTTTTCAGTATAGGGGTGTGATAAGTGTATGATTTCCATTACATCCCAGTGTGCTACATAATAAAAATGAAAACATGTAACACATTTTGAGTATAGAATTGAAATGGATTTTCTAACCTAGTCCTAGTGAATAGGTGCTGAAGTGATGGCAAAGACTGTAGCTCCTGGACTGTAATTATCATTTGAGTTATTTCTCTGTGGTAGGAGATGCTAGACCTGTGGGCACAATTAGAAAAAAAAAAAAAAAAAAGGCAGAGAGTACTTTTAGTACTTTTGTCCTTTTTCCTTTTGGCCATCAGCAGCAGGCTGACAAGCCAATGCTTTTGAAGTTATTTTAGGTGTAGGAAGATGCGATTCACATTGGTATGGCTTTCTCATATGTTACCTTGTTACGTGTTTGTAAGAACATAATCTAACAAAGTATTTTAAAACATATTTGAGTGTTTTAATCAACTGGAACTTCAAGACACTGTAAAAACAATTCTGGCTTCACAGAATTCAGTCATGTTTTGTTGTTTCCTTCAGTAGCAGCAGAAACTGGTCTACATAGCATATATTTTAAATTCTTACAGGCATAGAAAGCATCACGGCTTGTTCAGTCCATCCAGAATCAGAGTCCACTATAGTTGTTGCCCTGAGTTAAATGAATCTCACTGATGTGTATTTCACATAAAATGGAACCGATACAGAATATAACCTGCCTTTCTTTTCTCTTGTAGCTTGGCTTTACATCCCCAAAGAGACATTGTAGTCACTGGCCGTGATGACCACCTCTGGAAAATGTGGGCTTTACCTGATGGGAACATCATCGTGACAGGTGAAGGTCACACTGATTGGTTTTCAGGCTGCTGCTTCCGTCCAAGGTTAGTGCAAACAGTCCCCTGAACTAGCACTAATCCCTTCTGGGGAGTACTTGTTTGCTCTTTCTTTGTTCACTGGCCTGCTTTGATGACTTTCTATTCTCAGTGTAACCCTGCGCTCTCTGCTGAATTTCCAAACATGTAGATAAATGTTCCTCTGGCTTTCAGTGTGTTGACTTAAGATTGATTGCTTTTAGTATTTTGTACATCTTAAACTTTGTCCATGTGCCAGTGCACGTAACAAGGAGTAATAAGCTTTTTAGGCCTCGCTGTATTTATTTTCTCTGTGTTCATGCACTAGAACACAGTTCCATTATTAATAATACAGAAAAGTTGATTTCTTGTATTAGGCATTATTTGTCCTATGACTAAGGGTATTTGAGTTTACCTAGAGAATAAGAATATGAGCTTTCCTCCTTTCTCTTTATACAGATTTGTAGCTGAATTAATAGATGAAAGGGAACATTGAAAGTAAGATATACATATTTAGGTTACAAGGGTCGTGGAAATAGGCCAAACATAAAGTAGATTTCTTGGTCATTCTGTTGATAAATAGAATGCCATTTTACTCTCTCTCTCAAAGAAAAAAAAATCCATTTGTTAAGACTGAGCCTCTATATGTTAGAATGATTTTGCATCAGATTTGTGAGGCTGCAGTTGTAATAGAGTTCTTTACTGTTAATATAATAAAGGTCTGCCAGGTTACTCACCTGAGGTTTACTTATAAAAAGAGCATTATTAAACCTCCAACCTTGTATTTTCATTGTCTTTATTTTATGATGCAATATTAGCTCTTTCCTTCACGAGAAGGAAAAGTATCCTATTTAATTTCATGGTTCCTCCTGATTTCTGATATTGTAATGTGTTAGCAAACACACACAATCCTCTAAACTGAAGAAAATCCCCTCCCTGTTTTCCAAAACTCAAGAAATCATGCTTTATGGGATGAATTAATTCACGCAAGAATTCATGCTTTCTGGGATGAATTAAACATGCACTTACTCTTTTCCTGCATCCCTTTCTCCTATGAAACATAAGCTTTTTCTTAAGATGCTCATGTTTCACCATGTTCTCTTTTTCCTGTGTATATCCTTAGAAATAATTTTGTATATTTAAAAGAAGATAATAATATTTGAATTAAATAATGACGTTTAATACAAGAAGGAGAGAAATGGAAGATTGTAGGAAAATTTTGCTATTACTGAATGACAGGTTGAGCAGAGTTTGTGAGCACGCTGGACATCCTAAGATAAACAGAATGCTGCCTTACCTCTTACCTGTTATGAATATAAAACTCATCACAGGGAAAGAAAGGGAAATACAATTAGAAGAACATGTTATCATTTATAGAGCTGCTGGGCATGCTAATCAGATTTCGATAATGCATTGTTACCATGACACCCGCTGACTCAGAGACTCAAAACTATTTTCTCATTAGTCTTTGACCAGAATACAGTCCTTTCAATAGGCTTTCCTATTTCTCATTCAATTATTGAAATTAAAATGAGTTGAGGTACATCATTATTCTCTTGCAGTATAAATTGACTCCTGCTGATTGCTCTGGAGTGATTCAAAAGCAGTGCTGTTAAAATATTGTCTTCCGTTACTGGATAAAATATATATAATGTGACAGAATACATTTAATCATACTTTTTTTAAAAAAAATAAAAGTAGGAGACTTCTATATATCAGATGTTCCAGAAGTAAAAACAATTAAATAAAAATGTAAGTTTCTCATAGAATTTTTCTGGAATCAAATGTAGATAGCCTCTAGTTTTGTTCACATTTTAAAGATTTAAAATTATGTTCATCTAAAAGTTGAAAAGAAAAATATTTTTGTGGCAGTGGGCTATTAAATTGCGATCCAGAAATCTGGGTGGAACTCCCACGCTTCTACATCCTTTTCTTTTTGTCCTCTGTTAGATCATTTCTCCTCTATTTTTCTTCTTTCTGTAAAATCAGGTTTAAAACAATCTCCACCTCTGGTCTGAGAAATACTCTATGTGTAGTGATAGGGCGTACATGCATGCAAAGTCATGCACACAAGTCCACTTCCAAATCATTTGTGGACAGCATCAGAATAATTCACACAGGGACATTGAATGTACTAATAATTTGAGGAGAAACAAATCTAGAGCTGTGATGTGAATTTAACTGGTGCTTTTGTGCATACAAATGACTTAAAATCCCAGAAATCCATTTTTACATGTTCACAGTGTACTCTTACTTGAACAAGGGTCTTTCTCATGGTTGTCTTTTGGCCACTACTTACACAGTGGTGGCACAGGTGCAAGTCTTGTTGGTAGCTGTGAAGATCTATAACCTTCAAGCTAAAGGTGCTGTTGGGTTTATATATCCTCAACTTCTCCAAGCAATGAGAGAATGTGGGTTGGTAGTAGGAACTTACCCGTATACAATAAAAAGGTAAAGGTATGGTTTAGGCTCTGGACCTTGCCCGCTGATTCATACCTAATAGTGATGAGGCTTGTCATTTGAATCTTTCCCAGTACAACATTATCCTTAAGTATCATAATGCCATTGAGTCTTAGGGACAAAGGCCACTGAGTTTCTGAAGAGTTGTTGGATGGAGGGCATGTTGGAGTCTCATTTTTCCCCTCACTGACAATGTACTTCACTCGATGATTATTTTTGCTTAAAAACACATCTCCTTCACATCTGAGCAAAGTAGAGTGAGGTGAGAGTGCATGGTTTGCTGAAGCTCCGGGGTCTGGTGGTGTATTATTTTTGCATTGTACCTAGTGCTCTTCAGTCTGTACAAAGGGTCCCCCCTGTGTTCTCCCTGCATGACAGTGGCTCCCAGGACAATAGATGAAGGGGAGCAGACTAGCTCTGTGCATGTGAGGAGAGCAGAACATGTCTGTTGTGATGCTCTCTGCAGATCTGAGAGTAGAATTTTGCCTTAAGCTTTTAAAATAAAAGTAAAACTTCAAACGGGTCCTGTCATCTACAGAGTAGAGCAGCTGGACGGAGGGAGGAGAACAGTGCTTCCTTTTTGAAGATCAGGTGACAACTGGTCAAACTTCAAAATCAAACACTATTTTTACTCCAGTCTGGCTGAATAGTACTTTGCAGATGAATTGCCTTTTGCAAGTTCCTGTCACTGTTGAAAAACTCAGGAATATATTCCAACTTATGTTTTCTATGTGTAAAGGAGTAAGGGAGGCAGAATGACTCCTGAGACAGTCATCCAGGTGGGCTTCATGTTATAAATCTGGGTAGCTGGAGAAGAACTGAGTAGTGTACCTGTGGGTACCAGGTGGCCCGAGTGTTTGGAATAGCAGACGAAAATCTGCATCTTCTGCCAGTTTCCGGAATAAGCTGAGGATGCTAATGCTACACCTTTAAGAACCATATTCTAATTACACTGAGGTGTTTCAGGGCATGTACAAGATTTATTTATCTTTATTACTAACCTTCCTGGGTGGCTAAAGAATCAAGCTGTGCAGCATAGCAGAGGTGTTTGTTAATGTCTGATAAAATCCCAGTGAACAGTAAAATATTGTATTCTTGCTCCGCATGTGTGCTGTTATAATATGTAATGTCCTTAATATATCATAAATATTAATCAAGTCAGCTATTCTAAAATGTTTGCAGCCCTCATGCAAACATTGTTTGAGTCTGTGGAACACAATGAATTTCTGAATTGGAAAGAAGTACAAACTGTAGGTTCTTAAAACTATTTAAAACTTGTACTGAAAATTGTCAGCCCCTTTGTAATGTCCTGTTCACCTGAGACAAAAGCTGAACGGCTTGTGTTCTTTCTGTTGCTATTTTAACTCTCACAGTTTCTGAGGAAAGAAATCAAAACAGTTATCAATTTGTTTATTATACTAAAAAATACCACAGCAGTTGAACTGTGTGGATTTTCTTTAAGTTCTGTTGCTATTGGAAAACTAGAGGTGGGTATTGTCTCCTCAGCAATTGGGGGGGGAAGATAGCATAAGTACATTCATGCATCAAGCATCTTGAAAATAAAGGTAGTTAATGTTTGCTATCTTAGGAAAAGGTGCCAGTGAGGGGATGCAAGAGAAAGATGAGGTGTTGGGCTAAAAGAACAATCCATATTCTGAAAGAACAGAAGCAGCTGTAGAATGTGTATCTCAAAGCTGAAAGTGGTGATGTCGCCCTGATGAAAATCTGTGCATGGATAGATGAGAAAGAAAACCTTGTAGAGACAGGGTGCAGAAGGAATTAGCAAAATATATTGAGGGTGGATGTGAGGACTCGGAGAGTAGTTGAATGGGTTGGGGAGGGAATAGCAACTCCAGGTGGGCTTGAAATCACACAAGAAGCTTTAAGAGGAATTCTGTAGCACATCAGAGCAGACTAAGGAGAGGGCAGTGACTTTGATGCTCCCTAAGTGACTGGGGGGCTAGGCATAGTCAGCAATGAAATATTTATGAACGCTTGCTCTGCAGGAAGCTCTGAGCACCTGTCTGTAAACCCAAGGGCTCTTCCAGCTGTGTAAAGCTGAGCAGCACAAAATCACTACTGATCTTATGCTGGCCAATACAAAAGCAGCCAAGAGCTGCTCTTGACTTTAGCTGATCTTGACATTAGCTATGCCCTGTCTCTAGTGGAAATTTAAGGCTCGATGGGGAACAGGATACAATTTGGAAAATCCAGTTGAATGCTTAGAACCTCTTCCAGGCTTAAAGTCTACAGTACTGTGTGTGACTGACCACCATGGTGGCCTCTTGAGTCTAAGTCCAAAATGGTGCTGACAATCTTGAATGAAAGGGGCTGAGTTAGTGATATTTTCTCAAAGTTTTAAAGAGCAGTGATTGGTAAATGTGAAATTGTGGAAGTAAGACTCTGTCAGTGTGGAAGTACGAAAACTTCTAAGGTTTAAAAAAATAAATTCCTGAGCAGAATCGAAGCCAGAATAAACTGAGAAACTGAAATGAATTCTTGCTCAGGTAAGTCCTTGATTTTATTTTTTACATGATTTTAAATTTTTTTATCGTGTCATCATTTGGGCT